CAGAATTATTGCCGATCATTTGTAAATCCAATCCGGTTTCCGGTTTCTATCCGGATTATCTGATCCGGATTCAAAATCCGGGTCAATCCGGATATAATCCGGATTTTTTTTTTGTGTAATCCGGATGACGGTTTTCATCCGGGTCGAAGCACTACGTGCAATACAAACTTTTGTGATGATCACCTGAGGAAAACCAAGATTTTTCTTACAGTAAGTGTAGTAAGTGTGATAGCCCTGTTCAATTCCGGTCGGTCGCATTTTTTGGTCGGGGTTTTGTTGATTTGTCTGATTTTGTGTAACACATGAAATATCCGACCTTTTTACCCATATTGTGTATGGCCGAAAAATGCTTATCAAAAGTTTTTTTTAATAAATTTATTTATTTCCTTTTGTTTTTTTTTTGAGCCAGAATTTTTTTTGAAAAAATTTATTTCTTTCTTTTCGGTTCTTTTGAATCAAAATAGTTTTTTTAAAAAAATTTATTTTTTTTTTGAACCGGAATTATATACAGTTCACCCTCGCTATAGTGAAGCTCATGGGCTGAAGGTTAAGATTCACTATAGTAAGGGATTCACTATAGCGAAGGTGAACTGTATTAAGAATTATTATTTATATAGAAAATCCGTACCTGAGCTTTTCTTTACTATAGCAAATTATTCACTATATAAAAATTCACTATAGCGAGGGTGAACTGTAATCATTTTTATTTAAATTTTATTTATTTTTTACAAATTTTTATTATCTTTTCAGTTTTGTTAACTGAATTATTTTTTTTAGATTCTTTTTTTTATTTTTATTATCTTAAAAATATTCATTTTTATTTTTCAAAACGTCCTTTTCTTTTTTTTTTTATTTTTTTATTTATTTATTTTTTGTTATTAAACGCACGTAAATAATTGTATACTAAATTTATTATATAATAATAACACATAATAAAATAAAATAAAATTGTCTTGTTATATAATAACTTTATAAATTGTTAATAAAACGTTGAATATAAACTGTTGTAAAAGTTGGAATCGAGGAAACTTTATAATTTCTTAATGAAGGTTCAATAAATGCAGGGAAAACTAATAAATTTATAACTAATAATAAACCCCATTTTAAAAATCTTTTAACCATTGTAATCTCATTCTTCTTTTCATAACCAAATATAACTTCCCATAATATAAATATTACACCATGAATCATAAAGAAAAATGTTTGTTCACCTGTCCAAATATTATAATTCCCAATAATAAGATATTCATGTAATAAAGAACTAATAGCAAAAGCACCTAATACTCCCATCATATTTGCAATTTTTCTTGGAACAAATGGAATTAATAAATTCCTAACTGGTAAAAAGCCAAGTTCCTTAAAAGTTTCATTAAGGAATAATTGCCAACGAGTAGACCAAAAATCACGAGGACTTGATGCCATCCATGGTTCACTAAATAAAGATTTTGTATTGAATATAAAAGATATCATCCATTCTTTTAAAGAAACATATTCTGTAGGGGTGAGAAGACCATATTGAATTAAAATGGGTTTGTATTGATTTTTTTCTGAAGTGGAATGAAAAAATAAACGAAATATGATTGCAATAATGAAACCAAAGACATGATAATTTATTGAAAACCGTAAATACACGATTGCAAAAAAATGCAACATATGTAAAATTGAAGGTATTGTAATAGGAGTAATTCCTTTTGTAAAAAATTCTAATAAACGAACTTGAAAAACTTTTTCTGGAATTTCTGTTGCCCATTTGGTTGAAATTATGTAAGTAGAAGATGTAAATTCTAATATTAACCATTTCGCGAGTATGATTATTAAACATTTGAATAATTTTTTGTTAATTTGTGAGGTTGTGGGTGATTTAATAATTAAGGATTTCTCTTTTTCATTTGAATTTTCCGAATTTGGAGGAATTATATAAGAATCAAGCCGCCAATTAAATATTGACCAAAGGTACGATTTAAATTCTTTTAAATTCTTTGAATTATTGTATGTCCTATGGAATTTTAAGAATAAGAACATTTTTATTCCATAATTTAAAGCAATAATTACAAATATATTGTGAAGTGGAAGTTTCTTCCCACGATAAATTAACGGAATTGATACAAATAAAAGTGCAAGAGATAATAATACGTAAAAACGTTTCTTTGTTCGAATTGGTTCAAATGTAAGTGATATGAATAATAACATTGGAGTGAAAAATATTGAAGAATAAACTGAATTGGGTAATTCAGGGGGGAATTTTTGCCATGTTGATAAAGGTGAATTGATGATAAAATTTAATGTATGAGCAATAGTTATTGATAATGGTATATAAACCAGATTGGATTTTGCGAAAATGTTAAATTGAGAAGTTGATGACATTTTGAGTGTAGTGTCTATGTGTGTAGTCTATGACTTAATGAAGTGTTAAAAAATAATGCAATATATATGATATGTGAAATATGCCGATATGTGAAATATGAAATATGCCGATATGTTCTATGTAATATTTACGAAAAAAATGATAAAAATGCAAAATATCTATAAAGGTAATGTGTATATTGAGAATTTAAACCTTTTATATGAATCTATTTTTTTTAATCGCTTGTTGAAAAAAATTTTTTGAATTTCATCGTTCTATATATACTTATTTTCTCGGAGTATTTTTTTTTTTTTTTAACATTTTCTCGGAGTATTAAGAATCTACTTTATGATGATGTGATTACATGTGGCTGAGAAAGCTTACTAAATAGGGTTAAGAAGTAAAAATAGAATTGTGCTGTGCAACTTGGCGAAATGGTGTAACTATTCTTAGAATCAGAAGAAAATTCCAACAATTGAATTTATTTAGAAGTTGATTAAACTTTTAGTACATTATGTTTGACGATCTTTGCATTTATTGTAGAATGAAAATATGATTATAATCATATAAATTATTATCCGTTATATCTCTATTGTGTTCATTCGGCTTTTAATGTTGCAGAAATCTCAATTGTTTCGAACTTTCGGTTAACGTAAATTTAGAATTTCTTTTAGATTATTAATAGAAACTTCCGTTGCAAGAACAATAATTTTTTTTTTTTTTTTACGCTACAATAAAGATAAGTTGAATTTACGTAAACAATATAGAATGAACCTCGTTATAGTGATATCATTATTCTAATCATTTTCATTCATAAATAACAAAAAAAAAAAAAATTCTATCTAAAATGTATTGTTCATTGATACTTAAATGTTTCATGATTGAATAAATCAAATAAATCAAGAATTTATTTACTGCATTTGACTTAATTTATTAATCCTTATTATAAATAAAGATAAAATAAGTATATTTAAATATGTGTTATATGAACGTAATTATAATACTAGTCACGTTGGGTGGTCTCGTATTATGATCATCAATTAAATGTGATATCAAATTCGGAAATTTTTTGTCTTTTATTAAAAAAACAAGATCTGATTGCATATGCAATTATTGTGATTGTGTAAATGGCTAACATTTTTTTTCTTTTGTTCAATTAACATCGGAATATTTTAACATCACGGGTAAATAATGCCGAAAGCCGGGTTCGTTTCATTTATAAATAACACCAAATTTTTCAAAAAAAAAAAAAAAAAAAAAAAAAAAAAAAAAAA